ATAAAGAACTATTATAGTTAACTCCGTAAGTACCAAATGAATACGCCAGGGTTATATACAATGAAGATCTAACAAACAATGGGATGTGTGACTTCCGCCTCATTTCCTGTTCCTTGTTTGGTTGTGGGCTTATGGCAGATTCACACAATCAATTGTCTGTTTGGTCTGGATTCTATATAACTTGTATCCATTTAGTACTCATAGAAGGAATTGTAGAGTCATTTTACTTTCATTCATAATATCAGAAAAATATAGGATTTTCTGGAGGAACATTCAAAGTTTTCTAAAATAAGTTACAGCTTACCTTACATCACTTAAATACTTATGAACTCACCAGCTTAAATGCTGATCTACTCTTTCAAAATAACTTGTATTCTCACGAGACTAGTAGATAGGTACGAGCGCTGGGATTCAGAAGATGGAGCATAGTAGCTTCATTTTTTGTTTTTTTATTTACTTGAAGTCAATCTTTTGTGAATCACATACTTGTAAAACACTTTAATATTAATGCAATGGTTGCTTGTTACTTTGATTACTATGATGCATGTGTTGTGATACTAAACATGACGTCCTCTGCCCCCGAACATTTCCGCCGTTCCGGTTTGGGGGTGTGACAAGATTCATAAAAAACTGTAATATTCTCATTGATAATCTATGCACAATTTGGATTGGGCGATTTCATCTCCATGTAAATATGGCCCAGTTTTAGCGAACCGCTAACCCCGGGGTCAAACCGATGGTGAATTTGTATGTTTCTCACGTGAACCTTACTCCTGTGGGTTCGTATGCTAATGCTGTTAAGGGGGAATCTTTGAATTTTGTGGGGTTCTCATAATACAGTGACTAGCCGACTCTTATTCTTGATTCTACTTGCTATGTTAATATTATTCATTAATTCTAGTTTGGAAGGTATAACAATTTGGTTCCTTACCAAACTTACATGTGATCTGTTCTAATGAAGGTTTTTATGATGTAACTCTTTAATACATGGGAGGTTTTTGGGTTTCGTTGGAGGTTTTTTTTGTCCATGCTAAGGAGAAGTTCTTAAAAAACGATGGGGCTGCTTCATGGTTTAAGGTGATTAGGCCATGGTCAAAAGACTTTGTAATTGATGATCGGGTTATTTGGATTGATATTGAAGGTGTTCCCTCTCTAGCATGGACTACAAATACTTTTATGAAGATAATTTGCCGACGGGGAGAGCTTTTACACTCAGAGGATCCAAATGATAATAACTTGTGGAGGAAAAACGTTGTGCATTAAAACAAAGGTCAATAATCTTATTTTTAAGACCTTAAAGATAATTGTTCAAGGGAGAGTTTAATTTTAGGTTGAACCCATAATTTATTGATGAAAATGTTGAAGTTGAAGCGGAAGGGGTTCATCAGCTCCCAACGGTTGCAACATGGGCTGATTATGCTGACCGTGTGGATGATGACACTTATGAAGATGAAAGTGAAGGGGTATTGGAAACTATTTTTGGTGAACCTGTAGGTAATCAAACAGAAGGGGATGGGGTCATGCAATAGTCCTTGGACCCTTTTGGTATATATGATATGCTTGACAAAGAGAAAACCGAGCATGTAAGTGTAAGTGAAACGACATCTCATCCATCGGGTTTCACACCTAAGTCGAGTCCTCATGAAAGTTGTGAAAAAAGGGCTTCTCAAGTAGCAATTTTGCAAGATTGTATAGGGGAACATCATGGTGCTTTTCAAATTGAAAAAGAAGTTGGTGTGATTACCCCTCCATGATAGAGGGATGCAACTTCGGTTTAAGAGGTGGTTTGTTCCCTAAATCCATGCATTTAGGTCATGATGGTGAATCTGTTAGTACGGCTCGCACACCTCCATTTCGTAAGCATCATAAAGGTAGCTCTTTCCTTGATACTTTGGAAGAGTTTGTAACTGTTGGTCAAGCCATTTGGTATAACATGGAAGGGTGTATGGAAAATATGGATGATATGATCACTTGTCATAGAGTTTTTGATGTTGTCAAATGAATCTCATTTCTTTAAATGTTCAAGGTGTTGGGAAACATGAGAAGAAAATTTGGGTTAGAAGTTTGTGTTTAAATTATAGGGTTAATTAAATTTATTTTCTATTAGAGTTGTTTGGGGGAATTCCAGTTTTGATTATGTTTTTGGTCCTTCGGTTGGAAGATTAGGAGGTATTATTTGTATTTGGGATAGTTCTTTATTTTAAAAAAAAATGCTACTATATCAAACTACTTTGTTCTTGTTGAGGGAGTTTGGAAGACGTCGGGGTCTAGATTGCTTTTGATTTCTATTTACGTTCCACAAGAGTTATCGGAGAAATGTCTTTTATGGGATTATTTGTGTCAAGTGATTAATAGATCTGATGGAGAGACTTTGGTTATGGGTGATTTTAATGAAGTTTGGGTGGCTTCTGAAAGATCTGGTTCTGGGTTTCATGTTGCGGGTGCTCTGGCATTTAATAATTTTATTGTTTCCGCTGGTTTGTTCGATATTCCTTTGGGTGGCTATTCTTTTACGTGATCTGATAAAGTTGCAGGGAAGATGAGTAAGCGTAAAAGATTTTTAGTCTCTAAAGGTTTCTTGGAGTCTTTTCCTCATATTTCAGGTGTTATTCTTCAAAAATACATGTCAGATCACAAACCTTTTTTTCTTCAGGAAGTTAACTTTGATTATGATCCCACTCCGTTCAGGATTTTCCACTCGTGGTTTCTTATGGAAGGTTTTGAGGAGGTGGTTGTGGATTCTTGGAGTAGTGATTTGGTTATGAATTCAAATGCTATGATAGTTCTTAAAAAGAAACTACAATTCTTAAAGAGCAAGCTTCGAGTTTGGGTTAATGCTTCGAAGGCAAGTAGGAGTTCATCAAAGTTGGAGTTTCTCTCAAATTTGGTTGATTTTGATGTCCAATTGGACATGGGTGAGGGTGGGGAGACGACGCTCGAGAATAGATCGGCTTTGTCTAAGTCCTTGGCGGATTTAGAGAAGATTGATGCTCTTAATCTCGCTCAAAAAGCTAAGGTGCAATGGGCGATCGATGGAGATGAAAATTCAAAATACTTTCATGGTATTGTTAATAAAAAAATGCAGCCATCTAGCTATTTGAGGTATTTTTTTAGATGGAGGTTGGATAGATGATTTGAATGCAGTTAAAAAAGAATTCCTTTTCCTTTTAAAGCGCATTTTTCTTTTCCTACTCAACATCACATTCACCTTGGTGATTCTTTTCCTAGTAGGCTCTCGGAATTGCAAATACGATGGTTAGAAGAGGATGTTATAGTGGAGGAGATTAAGAGGGTTGTATGGGATTGCGGTTTGGGATAAATCTCCGGGCCTGAATGGTTTCACGTTTGAAATTTTTCGGAAGTTTTGGCATGTAGTGGGGACCAAAGTGGTAGAGGCGGTTCGCGAGTTTTTTTTACTTCAACTTAATTTTCTCCTGGTTGCAATCCATCCTTTATTGTTTTGATTCCGAAGGTGGCGGATGCCAGGTTTGTTAAAGATTTTCGTCCTATTAGCTTAATCAGTTGTCAATACAAGATTGTGGGGAAAACTCTTGCTAATAGATTGAGTAATGTGGTCGATGATTTAGTGAGTGTTGAGCAGTCAGCTTTTATGAGTGGTCGTCAGATTTTGGATGGCCCAATGATTCTAAATGAACTGATTTATTGGTGTAATGTCAATAAGAAAAATCGACGGTGTTTAAAGTTGACTTCGAAAAGACATACGATTTAGTGAGGTGGGATTTTCTAGATGATATTATCCATATATTTGGCTTTGGTGTGCGTTGGAGGGACTGTATTAGAGGGTGTCTTGTCACTTCTATGGGATCAGTCATGTTTAATGGAAGTCCCACCGAAGAGTTTTAATTTTTTACAGGTTTTAGGCAAGGTGATCCCATGTCTCCATTTTTGTTTATCTTGGTAATGGAGACCCTTCGTATATGTTTCTCTCGGGCTATGGAGCATGGTTTTTTTCTAGTACTTTTGTTGGGAATTATTCTCCTATGCAGGTGTCTCATCTCTTTTATGTTGATGATGTTGTCTTTATTGGGCAGTGGAGTGACTCTAATTATCGCCACATTGTACGTATCCTCTAGTGTTTTTTCAAGGCTTCGAGTCTTAAAATCAACCTTAAAAATGTAGGTTAATGGGGATTGGAATTTCTTTTTCGGAAGTGGAATCAACAACGGATTTGATTGGATGCATTCCCAGTAGGATGTCGTTTTCTTATTTGGGAGTCATGGTTGGCGGCTCTATGTCAAAATTAAAGTCTTTGTCTGATGTGGTGCAAAAGGTGACTGGGCGTTTATCTAGGTGGAAGGTTAAAACTCTTTCGATTAGGGGTAGACTCACGTTATTAAAGTCTGTTTTGGGGTCTATCCCTAATTACTATATGGCGATATATAAGGTTCATGCTGGTGTTTTGGCTAAGTTATAGGCTTTAAGAAGGAAATTTGTTAATGACATTGACTTAGACGAGAGAAAGATGGCTTTGATTAGTTGGGAGAAGGTGCTAGCGGCTAAGGATAAGGATGGTTTAGGAGTTGGCAGCTTTTTTGCTTTGAATCGTGCAATGCTTTTTAAATGGGTCTGGCGGTTCCTTTCCAATCCAAATTCATTTTGGGTTAACATCGTTAAAGGTGTTCATGGGAGTAATGGTTCTCTACATCGCGTGATCCCGAGTAATAAGCATTATGCTTGGCTTGGTATTATTCGTTCTATTTCTCATTTGAAGGATAAGGGTGTGGATTTTAAAGCTCTTTTTAGGAAGAGAATTGGAAATGGTGAAAACACAAAGTTTTGGGAGGATATGTGGTTATGGGAAAATATTTTGCGTATTTCTTTTCCTAGATTATACTTGCTAGAGTGTCATAAAGATGTTTCCGTTGCTGAAAAAATGAGAAATCCTTTGGTTCATTCTTTTCGGAGGATATCGTTAGGTGGAGCCGGGGGGGAGCAAGAGAGGGCTCTCGGGTTAATATTACAATTGCTTTGTGTTGTCTATGGTGGATGACAGGTGGGTTTGGTTACTTGATAGTTTGGAAGAGTATTTTGTTGCTTCATCCCATTCTTTGGTTGATGGGCACTTGTTACAGACCTCCTCGATCGCTTCTAGATGGGTAAATCTTGTTCCCATTAAAGTGAATGTATTTTCTTGGAAGTTGGTTTTAAACAGATTTCCTACTCGCTTTACCCTTTCCAAGCGAGGTTTGGATATTCCTAGCTTGTGTTGCCCTATTTGTAACATTGAAGTGGAATCGGTAAACCATTTGTTCTTTCCTTGTTTGTTAGCGGTGGCTCTTTTGGAGAAGACGATGGGTTGAGAGGTTTAGATTGCCCCACTATTTTCTCAAATGACGATTGGCTCTTGTGGTTTGGCAATTTGCGTCTTAACAAGGTTGTTAAGAATTTTCTAGAGGTTGTTTTTCTTATTATGTGGTGGTAAATCTGGAATTTTAGAAATATGATGCTTTTTGATAAGGCTTTGCCTAAAAAAATATAATTTTTTTATGGAATTGTTACGCAGGCGCACTCTTAGTGTCATAGTTTCTTGCTATTATGTAATGTTTTGATTTTGTACTTTTTTCTAGCTGTCTTTCTAGTTTCTTTTAATATAATTTATGCCGTTCTAAAAATAATAATAATAACAATAACAATAACAATAATAATAAGATATAGGCTTTGATGGAACAATTTTTTTCTAATAAAAGGTTTTATAAGTGGTTAATTGTTAAAGCTACTTGGGATATAATCTATTATTGACTTAAAATATTTAATCATTCTGTAGCGTTATTAGGTGCAAAGATGTTGACCTATCAATATGAAAGCAAATGAACCTAAACCAAACTCTTTTAACATTACACTATTTAAGCAATCAGAATAAAAATGGTTGTTTGTTTATATTTAATGTATCAAAACAAACCAATAAATAATAATTACATAGATCATCAATAGCGAACACCCAATTCAATGGTCCTGTTGTAACACATTTTCTCGCATAGGATAGCTACTTGCAACGACTATTTGGATATTTATCAATGATGGAATATATAATTGTTGTTAATTATAGAATAAAAAGATTAAAAAATGAGAATAATATATACATAAAATTTAAGGAAATATGCAAGAAATTCACTATATAATTATTGTTGTTAATCAGATGACCAGTTTTTTTGTTCTCCCGGTAACAACTTTTCTCGAACTACAATAAACTCACTAAGTTTACTAAAATTTCGATTTTGACACCGATATTCAAATTTCAAGAAAGTCACTATATTACCACAAAATTTTGATTTTGTCGTCGAATTTTTTTTCTCAATCATGACATTACATTTACAATTTTATTGAAATGTCAATCAACTGATCGATTTAGGCGATTTTATTATGATTTAGAAGCTCGATTTGTACAACAAATAAATTGAAGGTCGATCCAATGGTTCAAACTTACTTACAAGTCAGCGAAAAGGGCATAGTCACCCTTTCAGGATATGCTATTGTGGTTTAGCAGCTCGATTTGTACAACAAGTAAATGAAGACCCCTACAAGGTCGATTTGTACAACAAATAAATCAATACCCCTACAAGGTCGATTTATTTGTACAACAAATAAATAAAGACCCTATAAATGAAGATCCCTACAAACTTGCTTCAAAATCAGTTGACCGGTTACCATCAATCTAGTAGGTTACCAAATAAATGACATTACAATATTATGATGTGGAAGTCATGTAAGATCTTATGTAGTAGGATTGAGTTTCGAATATCGGGTTTTCATCGAACCCAATTTCACATATCTTTATGTCGATTCAGTGGTTCAAACTCACTTAAAAGTCAGCGAAAATGGCGTATTCACCGTTTTAGATGACATGTAACAACCATTTTTCGGTACGTAACTTAATTTGGTTTTGAATTTGATCAATTGGCTAAAACTAAAAACTAGATTTATTCGCAAGGGGGCGCAGGGAGCATATTAAGGGCGCGATGCGCCCGACCCATGGGCTGAAAGGCTTTTTAGGGTTGTTTTTCTCAATTATGTCACTATATTTAAAATTTAGGCTCGATTTGTACAACAAGTAAATGAAGACCCCTACAAGGTAGGGATGGACATGGGTCGGTTTAGATCGATTTTGACCTACGACTGAAGCCAAACCGAAAAATTTTGGTTTCATAAAACTAAACCCAAACCCACACTAAAACTAATGGGTCGGGATGGACATGGGTCGGTTTATGACATAGATAATGAGAAGGAGAAACCTTACTTGTCTCCACCGATGTGGGACTCTCCAAGAGAAGTTGAGAGATAGAAGGAATGTAATTCTTATTTATATTAGTGTTAAAGGCATTTGGTTTCTACTTCCAACGATGTGGGACAAGCTCAAATATGGACAGTAGCAAACAAAATAAAATGAATTAGCCTTAACCATCATGGTGAAGCGTTGTTTGTGCTTTTTGGTCATGTAATATAAATATATACATGTATAATTCTTGGAATACACATATATATTATATAATACCGCTCGGTTTTTACATCTCTAAAAACCGAAACCGAACCTATATTTTCGGTTAAAAAAAAAAAAACCTAAACCATCAGTTTTGTTTTGGTTTCAGTTTTGTCGGGTTTTTTCGGTTTTTCAGTTTTCTGTTTCGGTTTTGCTCACCCCTACTACAAGGTTGATCCAGGAGATGCTTAGTGACTTTGAACCACTAAATCGACCTTATATGGGTCTTCATTTATTTATTGTACATATCAATCTTCTAAACTACAATAACATCTCCTGGAAGGGTGACTATGTCCTTTTCGCTAACTTGTAAGTGAGTTTGAACCATTGGACCGACCTATATTTATTTTTTGTACAAATCAAGCTTCTAAACCACAATAACATCTCATGAGTCGGTCGATTGATTGACATTGCAACAAAATTGTAAATGCAATGACATAATTGAGAAAAAAACTCGATGTCAAAATCAAAATTTTGTGGTAATATAGTGATTTTCTTGCAATTTAAAACTCGGTGTCAAAATCAAAATTTTGGTAAACTTAGTAACGTTATTGCAATTCGGGAAAAATGGTTACCGGGAGAACAAGGAGAACCAATCATTTGGTAGATATTGCAACAAAATTGTAAATAAAATGACATAATTGAGAAAAAAATAAGTTGATGTCAAAATCAAATTTTTGTGTTAATATGGTGACTTTCTTGCAATTTTTCCTTCAATTTATATCCAAAAGTTGATAATCATATGTACTGTGGGTTTACATGGTCCGATCAAATTGTACGGTTTACATGAGTTTACATGGTCTGTTTAAATTGTACGGTTTACTATCTTTTTTAGATCTTAAATTCTCTGATAGCCTATAGTGAATTCGATTGTTCTCAATAAAAATTGATATATAACTTGTATCACATAAAATAGCAAAAATAACACATATTGCTATAAAAAAATAACAAATATAAACACAAAATTCAAATATTAATTTTGGATGATAATGTTATAATTTGGTTATTTTAATAGTATAATGTTATATATATATATATATATATATATATATATATATATATATATATATATATATATATATATATATATATATATTGTTATTATAAACAAATGATAAAAATGTGTTTCTATTTCATACCAATTTTCATTTATCTAGACTACACATGTCACCTGCCAATTAAAAAATATTGATCATAAAAGGACTAAATATTATGTGTTACATGATTTTTTTTAAAAATATTTCCCCATTACCCACTTGTCTACGCACCGAGTCAAAGGGAACATTACCATTGTTATGAACATTCCACACCAAATCTACGACCCTCTTCCAAATACTTTTCTTCAAAAAATTGGAGGAAAACAGCGAGAAACCCCTATCGTTCCCATAACAACTTTTGATAAGCCTAACCCAACACAAATTTTCACCATTTAGAAACCTCCATCTCCACTTATAGATTAACGCTTGGTTAAACACAGCTAGACTACCAAATCCTAAACCTTCAAACTGTTTATCATTTAAGATTACATCTCAATTAACCCACTATAAAACACGATATTGATCACCTTCAGCTCCCCAAAAAAATCTAGTTCGAATACCTTCCAATTTATGATAGACAGCAACATGCATTTTAAATAACGACAAATAATAAATACTCAAACTTCCCAGAACCGACATAACTAACCTAAGTCTACCACAAATGGAAAGCATCCTCGACTTCCACAGAGAAATTCTATCACGAAACCGATCGAGAAGCTTATTCCAAGTCGCCACCTTATGCATCCTCTCACCAATCGGAAGACCAATATACAAAAAGGAATCTTGTCCGGAGCACAACTAGTACAACTAGCAATGTAATGACATGCATTATTCGAAACTCCAATACCATAAATCTTAGACTTATAAGATTAATTTGTAACCCCAACGCCATATAAAAATAAGTATGAGTATACAGATTAGACTACAAACATTTTCAACATCCCATTCCCCCCCCCCCCCCCCCCCCCCCCCAAAAAAAAAACTTTGCATCATCTGCATAAAACCAATGGGATATCAGCAAATCCAAATACTCAATAGTCACCCCTCTATACATCGACTTATGAATACCCTCCTCCATACAAACATTTAAGCCTTCCATAACAATAATAAAGACAAAAGGAAATAATGGGTCACCTTGTCTCAAGCCTCTGAACATCTGGAATTCATATGTAGGGTTTCCATTAATCAAAATATAAGATTTAGCAGATCTTAAGCAACCACGAATCCAATCACGCCACCTCATCCCGAACCCCATAGCATCAAGAATGAAATCGAGATAATCCCAGGAAATTAAATCGTATGGCTTTTCAAAGTTACCTTTGAAAAGCATCATCTTTTTCTTTTTGATTGAAGCCCATCTAATTAGCTCATTAACCATCAAAATACCATCTAATATCTGTCTCTCTTTGATCAAAGTCGACTGCACCGAATTCACGATTTCCCCGACCACCTTCGCAAGTCTATTAGCTAAAATCTTACCAATAATTTTATATTGCAAGACAATGAGACCAATATACATATAATATTTAATCTCATTCGGATTGTCCACCTTAGGAATTAATAGGGCATGGACGTCAGCCCACATAGTACCAGGCCAAGCCAATAGACACAACCTAGCAGTATAGCCACAAATACATGATTGTTACCGAGCATATAGGGCAAGAATCACCCTACCCCCGTACACACCCTATGAAGCATCTCCAGGAAATACGGAAAATGCAATACTATTCTAATAAAAAAATGGTTTGCCCTTACGGCCTAAGTACTAACGAAAAACCCGGAAGAGGAA